CACTTCCAGCTGCTTTGGCAGGAATCCTTCCCATTCGAGGGGTTCTCCCGCCTGCCTTAAGGCTTTGTAATGGCAGGAAGAGGTTTCCGCTAAAGTAGGCTGGTCTTTGTGGTAATTTGGCCTGCCCCTGCTTGCCTTTGGCCTCACGGACCTCTGGAAAGGGGCCCCCAAAAGCTCCTCCCCAAAAGCCTTGGACTATGGGGAGTTCGGACACCCTGCCAGACAAGAGCTTTCATGCTGAGAGCAACCCCAGTTCTCCAGGCGGCGCTTCTTAGGGGGTCAAAGCAGCACAGACCATGCCCACAGGGAGGTCTCACTGGTCCCGGGGGAGGGAGTCCTGGGATTTGCAGAAATTTTGCAAAAAAGCTTCAAGGAAGGAAAACGGGGTGGGGGAGAAGGCTCAGTGCGGAGAAGGCATGCTCACAGGGCTTCGCCATCCAAGGGGACCTCAGAGGTGTTGCGTGGGTAAGATCAAGAGGAAGAGGGTTACGCAAGCCACCGCAAGTTCCTTAAAGTTCCTTAAGCATAATAAACAAATAATTAAAGGGTGAAGGTGGAGGAGGAAAGGGGGCTTCTTGGAATCAGCTGTGGGACGTGGCCCCAGCCCTAGATGACGGCACGTCATGCCGCAACATCTCCAGCCCCACGTCGCTGAGTCCACAAGCACAAGGTGCCTTTCCTGGGCCCCTCCCTTGGCGACTCTGCCTCCTGAACAACCAAGGGTCGTGAGCAAGCAGTCGGCCTCAGAGCAGGTACGGCCAAGCCAGCAGGTCCAATATGGGGAGCAGAACCCCCGCCTCAAGCCAGTTCCCTCCAGCTTGGGACTTCAACCCCCGCCACCCCCAACCAGCGGGGCAATGATGGGCATTGATGCCCAGCCCTGCTAGAGGGCAGCAGGTGATGGAGAGAAGGTCTGTGCTGGAAGCCAGATTGGCCTGAAATTCTTGCTGAGCTTCCCTGCCTCCCTCGGAGAGCCTGCACCCCGATCGAGGGAAGGCATGGGCAGCACCTCCTGGGGAGCCACAACCATCAGCCCTCCCCTGCCCAGAGCTGCCTGGACATCCCTTCCTCTCTTCTCCATCTTTGCAACCTGCATGTTGACTCTTTCTCTGGTGGCAGGACTGAGCTCAGAAGACGCACCTGGGCAACCACTGCCCATGATGTCAACAGCACATGTTTTCAGCCAGAACAGCGTCAGGCGTGCCAGGCCGGATGAGGCCAAGGGACCGTCTAGCCCAGCGTCCTGTCCAAGGTCAGGGAGTGCAGCCTTCCTCTCCCCTGGCTCCGGACAGCAGTGGCATGGTGTGGAAAGGACCTCGCATCGCCAAGATGCTTCCTGCTCTTGAGGCCAACCGCTTCCCTTTTCGCATCGCCTCCCTTGCCCTGTTCTGCCTCGGCTTCTCTGAAACGGAGCCGGATCGGCCCCTCTCTCCTTAAAGCCCCAGAGGCGTGCGAGGGGAATGAGAAAGCCACACACAGCGCTCTGGGCCCCCTGCATTGGGCCGGCCTGTTCGGGGGCTGAGGGGCAGTCATGTAAACCAGACTTGACATGTGACGGGGACTCAGTGAGCCTTGTGCCAAACGTTTCTCACACAGATTTTTTTCATCTGTTCACATTCATTTTGATAGAAAAGGAGTCGCTTTCAGAAAGGAAATCAGAGGAGGAGAAGATGCGAGAGGGTTCCCATGGATGAAATTTGGGTCACTTCTACTTACGTTGCTGAAGAGGCAGCCAAGGAACACGCTTTGCCATCCCTCCTGCCATTATTTAATCCTCCCTCTGGTGGCCTGTGGTTGGCTTCCCACTCAGCAGCTGGTTTTACTCAATGGGTACCTTCCCTCTCCCAGTACGGTCCCTTGGAGCGATGCTAAGCGCAGAACGCTTCTCCCACCAGCAGCGACTCCATTAGCAGCCTGCATGCTGCTGGAAGCCTGGAGGAAAATCTGCATGCATCCCTCTTCGCAGGGAACTTCCTTCAGAGCGGCAGCATGGGAAGCTGCTGAGCCATAGAGAGATGTGAAATAGAAAACACTCATGCACAAAGCTCTCTGCTGCACTGGCAGTGATTAAATAGGTTCCAACGCAACTCAGAAACAAATGATTGCAAGACTCTGTGACGGGAGGAAAAGTTGCCTCATTCCCCACCTGTTTCCTGGAAGTACCCGCAAAATGGGAGCAAAATGGGAGCCAGACAAGTGTAGACGGTTGCGGCTGTTGCCACTTGGAGCGGTGGCAAGAAGCTGCTGCAGCTGTAACCCCATTCATCAGGAGTCCCGCCAGCAGGAATGATTGAAGAATTCCTGATCCCTTGAAGAAACTGGAGCTATTGCCCCTCCCCATTAGCTGTCCACAAATTTTGAGAGGATATTCACGGACAGCTCTAGTTTTAGCTCCGCAGTAAAGTTCAGGTCTTTGGGAACAAAAGTTGCAATCTCTGGCACCTCCAAAAAGGGATCACATAAGGAGTTGATAGGAAGGTCCCGTTTCTCTGGACTTTGCTAATCAGAGGCTGTGCATCCACACAAAGAGTTTTCCCTTTTCTGCTGCATGACCTCTAGGTGGCACTGTGGTATAGCAGAATACTGCAAACGGACAAGTGAAGAAAACTGTTTTCTTTCACTTTAAAACAATACTGAATTTCCCCTGTTCTTAAGAACAAAACCTTAGAGACAGTCCTGTTTAAAAACCAGGAGCAAAACATGGTCTAGAGAACCCATCAGCACCTGGGGGTACAGAATGACAAGGACACAATGAAGGCCTAACGCAGAAAGCTTCTCCCTGCAATTTGCTAGAAAAATGCTACTGGAATATTTTGTCTGGAGGTTGATGGAGGAAACAATAAAGAGATTCTGGTACCGCAGCTGGAAAGCGAGGCTCACTCAGCAAGGTCCAGTGCTCCACTGCAGGCCATTCCCTGCCAAAGGTCATAGCTGTAATTTGATAATGATTATACCCTGGTGCTTTATAGGTGCAGGAAATCCAGTCCACACTGGCTTAAAAGACCATAAGTAAATCCACTGTGCAAACACTGGCAAGCCCTTGAAACAAGAAAAGCAGCTCTCCAGTAGAAACGGCTGCTTTTCTTAACCTGAGCTCTGCATTTTTTGGATCCCTCATGCCCCACTTCACATCCTGCAAGCCCCGTTCATCGTAACTCCCACCATTTCACCTTCTCATCTGTAGGTGGGGAAACTCTAGTTTCACATGAGACTGACGCAAATGAATTCTCTCTTGCAAATGACTTCCGTTATTGATGTTTACTCTGGGAAGCTGCATAATTCAGGTTTCAGAGTAAACACATTTTCTCTCCTTTTCATAGTGCAATTGAGCATGTGCCCCATTTTACACTTGAGCAAGGTCGCTAGGCAGCAATTCATGGACTCATGCATCGGATTTGCACAACCAGAACTTCCCAAAGGACCATCGAGTCCAAACACACACACTGGGAAAGCTGCAGTGGTTTCCTGAAGGGGAGAATATCCGCCTGTCTCCTCCCCAGCCTTAATGCCTACTCTGCATTTCAGTTTGTGGTTTAATCGCTTTAGCCCTCTGCATTTACTCTGATTCATTCTTGCGGCTCTTGCACGCTCCCCTTTCTCTTCTTTCAGTCTCATATTCTTCTCACTGTCAGTATTTGATTCGTGTTACTTCGAGTCCGAGACCTACTTCTTCTCCTCTCCGTTTTTGCACTGCGCGAAGCATTTCACCAACTGAGAGCACGTTTTACATTTATTTATTTGAAATTATTCGTAGGCCAATCTTTCCAGTTGGACCCCTTCCCGGTACCAGATGAAACAGAACAAAACAACGGCATTTCATAAGGGCAGAAAGAAAACAAGCAGCCCCAAGTTAAGAAAGGGCCAGCAAAGAGGCTTGACAAGAGGACGAGGACGACCCTGGAGAAGATGCAAGCTCATTCTGGGGAGGAGTTCTATTTCTTGCTTATTTCTATTTACTATTGTGTAACTGCACCCAAAATGCCCTGCCTCTTGTACTTGTCAGCGTCAATGCCCTTAGAGGAAGATATATGAGAAGGACCTCTGCTGATGTGTGTGGAAAGTTATTATAGGTGAAAGCCGTCCTTCAAGAGCTATGGGTCCAAACTGCAGAAGGCTTTAGAGGAGGGGTGCAGAACCTCAGGCCTGGGGGCCAGATCCAGCCCTCCAGGCTTTGACAGAAGACTGTGCCCCCTTCCACGAGCTGCCCCTTTCTCCCAGCCCCAGCCTTCCAGTGCAACTCTGTAGGGAAAGTTGGATCGCCCCTCCTGAGACTGCGATGTTGCCATCAAGACCACTTAGCTAAGTCATGCTGATATGTGGGGGACTTTAGTGCCACCCCTTTTGCCTTCAGCCACCCATCCCTGGATTGTGGCCCTAAACCCTTCTCCAAAACAGAATTCAGCCCCTAAAGAAATTCACCAGTACTGCAAAGTGGGCTAGCGAGTTGCCCGTGGCCGACGGCAATCGCCTTCTGTGCCTTTTTCAGAGTAACATGTTGCCCGGCAGCTGACACCGTCCAGCTGCAGTGCTCACTCCAAGCCCAGTTTCAGGGTGCCGCCTCGCCACTCACAGCCTCGCAGCTGCTCTCCCTTGGAGTCCGCGTTCTTTCAGGCAGGCTGGGAAGAAGCCGTGGCTCGTGGCTCTCCTGCAGGGTCTTGCAGCAATCAAAAGCAGTGCCTTACCAGAACGTCCCAGATTTCAACAGCAGTGAGAAGACAGGAAGAAACCCGAGGCTGGGGATCATTTTGGAAATGGTCTGAGAGGCCAAATTGTGCAATCCAGCCTTATAAGCAGAAGAAAGGAGTGGGGAGGGAAGGGAGAAGTAGCCATTTGTTTTCTGACAACAGGCTCCACGCTTCTGAGAAACGAGACACAAGTGAGGCGGACGTCAACCCCCTCCCCACGAAAAACCCAGCTGCCACTCCCAAAAGCCGACCTTCGCACCTCAGCCCCCACAAATCCCAAAATTCAGGTGAGACAACGGAAGCAGAGGCAAAGGGTTACAAAAGGGACGCTGTTTATTGGGGAGTGCAATTGTCAAACAATCACAAAACATTCTAAACAAGCAGTTAAAATAAATACCGAGCCTACAAGAGTTGTACACGTGTGACTTGCTTGGGCATTCTCTGTGTACTCCCGTGTACACACTCGCGCCTAGGAGCATAAATCCCACCGTTAATCCTTGCTCCCGTAGGAAAGCTTTCGCACATCCTCGGCTCCCACATTTACACACATTTACACATTCACACACGTGTGCACAAACACCCAAGCAGGCTGGATCTGTATTAGTGATAGCTTGTACGCATTTCTAATCTGTACAGACACTGAACACCGAGGCCTATTGATCTAGAATGCATCCTTTGGCGGTCTCCATGGCCATTGCAGTATTGCAGTGTTTTGAATAGCTTTTTCCCTGGGTTCATGGCATACTCCTCTTTTATATTTGCATTAGGAATATAATAGAAATATAACAGAAAACCATCCCGTTTTCAGTTCTCTGGCACATTGGCTTGAGCGTCTGCCCCATGGCTGCTTTAAACTTTGGATACATCAACACACATCACAAGCGTGGCAGAAAAGAAACTCTGCCCAACACAGACCCTTTACCCACACCCATTCACTTCAACAGAAAGTGCATGTCACATCTGCAACCTTCTCCACCCACTGAGAGGCCCCCTCCACTGAAGTGAATGGGAGGCCACTCTGTGCCCTTAACTAACACCATAGTTATTAACTCAGTTTGCCAATCTGTGACATTTTGCTTGATCCCAACAGATGCCATGAACCTAAGCTTACCTAATTAACATGAAGTTGACTTTCACAGTGTTGAGCTTCTGAGCTTTGGTGGATTGGAAAGGACCAAGAATGAAGCATTTGTCTTCCATTTTAGCATCCTTCCCTCCCTCATTATAGACACAATACACTGAACAGACCAGTTCCAGCCTCTCGGTCAGAACTTTTCTGCTTGCTGAGAAAACCTTCCCAGCTAGCAAAACATGAGAAGAGAGGAAATACAGTTTGCTATTTAAAAATAAAAGAGGGGACCTTGCACTTGGCATAAGAAAGGTTCCACTTCAGTCTCTGGCAATCTCCAATTTACAAAAGGATTCTGACCTTGGTGTAGCAGTAAATCCTGAACTCAGATGCCCCCATGACCTTCCCCAAAGCAGCACCCCAAAGAAGGGTCCAGAACTGCTGGCAGCTACGTTGAACCATATCCAGAAACCTTCCAGCAGTTTCCATCTCCCATCACCACCAGGTCTTTAGGGAAGCTAATGGGTCTGAATAGTCCGTTTAAGACCAAGCCACCCCCAAATACTTTACATTTCAAGAGGCATAGCTGGCAATTGTTTCTAGGAAGATCCATCATTCCTTCAGCTACTGTGAAGGCTACAGCTAAGCTCAGAGGGAACCAGGAGGCAGAGGGTGGGTGGCACTGGAGAACATCATGGTCCCTGCTGAAAATAACAAAAATAATAATTAAAAAACACCACCCCACGGATGCCTGGTAGCAGGAGATGGGGAAACCCATCTCTGCTCAAACCTGAGGAGAACCAGTGAAGAGGACAAGACCAGACGGCACGGACAAAGACAAGGTCGTGTCTCCCATGCGTGGATTCCCATGATCAGTTTGCACACAACCGTACCCTTTAACCCAAAACAATCCTAGCCATAAAGAGCAAACAAAAAACTGTACAAAACCACAGATGCATTACATCATCGACGTGGCCACTTAACTGTGTCAATAAAGCCAGCAGAATTTTCACCTCTCCGGGGAAGACGAGGCAGTCAAGATGCCACCGTACCCAGGATCTGTTCCCCTCTTGGGTCCGTTTCCCTGCATTCCCCGTCTCCTACCAGTATGCTGAAACTGGAGCTCGCACAGCCCTCACGGGATGCCTGAGCACAGAAGTCCTCATCCAGGCGCACCTGGGTTCACGCTGGCCGAGCGATCCAGCCATGTGGGTGCAAGCTGCCCTTTTCAGACGCACTCAGCACCGTCCCAGCCTGCCTTGCTCACACAGCTCTCCCAGCAGTGGGATCGTGTTTTGTCCCTGGGTGCCCAGGACCGGTCGACTCAAAAAGGCCCGTGATCTGGGACAGATCCACACGGGGGCATTCCCCCACGGATGCCCAGAGCCCTTCCCAAAATGGAAGCGTTGCGCTTCACGGAGCTTCCCCCCTCCATCCACGGTGCCTCATGTCCCACTGCACTCTGCATGCCACACCTGGCATGTCCGGCTTCTGGGGATTGGCTCCCCCAGGCAGCCAGCTCTGGAGAGGCTCAATTTCCCACAGTGCCCTTGACCTAGCCTTGCTCTGGGCATTCTGGGAAATTCGAGAAGAGAGTGGTTCGATTCAGCAGCCGGGCCGCCCACTGGGGCCAAGACAGAGGAGGGGTCTCCCTGGAAGGCCCTTTGCCCACCCCCCTTCAAAGCCTGCCCTGAGTGAAGAAATTAATACTGGGGCAGTGGAACACCCCAGGGCTTGCATCGCTTGTCAGAAACACAATGGCTGAATCAACACCATTTTCCCACCCACCCACCTCCTTTCCTTCCTTTCAACCAAAGCACACAATGCAGTGAAACGAGATTGGACAGTTTTAACCTGGTTTAAGCTGACTTTGGGGTAAGGCTGTAGTGTGGAAACCCCAAGGAATGCTCAAATGGATGTCATTTAAGTTAGGCTGTAAAGGGAAAACTCTCCTGCCCCAAACACAATATAACATCACTCTAGCAAAGACCAGGGCGATTTTTCCAGAGGGAAATGTTCAATGAATGATGCTATAAACATTGATCTTAAACAAATCCTTTGGTTTTTTTTAAGGCGTCTTTTCTTTTCTTTTTTCTTTTCTTTTCCCAAACCTCCCACCCCTCCTAACAGGAGTTTTAAACAGTGATCTGTTGATTCTCTCTGAAAATGGGTCTTTGGTGAGGTCCACAAGAATCCTGGAAGTTCCGGTACATCTGGTCATAATGCACCTCTTCTCCCACGGGGTGTATCAGAGTGTTGCCTTCATTCTTCCCAGCTTCCTCCATCAACTGTCGAATGCATAGTTGCTCAATCTGCAGTTAGAAGAAGACAAGATTTATTTGAATCAAGTAGTACCACTTAAGTACAATTAGGAAGGGCAATTAGGAAGACTTGAAATACATCATTAAAAGAAATTGGCTGGAGGAGGAGGAGGAGGAGGATAGTACTGTGGCACTTATTCAGTGCTTTAAGGTGTTCAGAGCGATTCAGACACATTCTTTCCATAACACCTGCACAACAGCCCTGTATGGTAGGTCATTCTCATTGTCCCCTTATTGTAAGAGCTGAGACTCTGTGGTGCATGGGTACTATATTGTGATTTGTTAAACAGATTCTCTGGTCTAGTGATTCGTTTTGGCTTACACAGCACACATGGAAAAAGGGATGAGCTGGGAAGAGGGAAAACTCAGCACAGCTTTTCAAGTATCTGAGTTCTGAGCTCTCTGTACTGCACCTTGCACACCATCAGTATCAAATAAACATCGAGGAGCAGGAAAGACGCACAAAGGCCAATATGGAGCAGTTTTCCATGTGAAGGAGCCAAACTACGCATCCCAACAGGAAGCTCAGACGTGCTTGCCAAGCAAACTAAATAAAGGCAGCCAATCCAGCTCCAGACACAGAGCATGTTTTTAACCTGGCAGCAAATGTTTCTCCCCAAACCAAGAGGGCTAACTCCTTGAGTGTTTTTTCTGAAAATAAAACCTGAGATCTGTTCTATGTTTGAGAGTCAGCAGGGGCAGGAAAGGCAGAATATTTCCAAAATGAAAATCAGGACAGTCCTCCACCAATACGTGGATGGTGCAATCTACCTCGACAAGGATCAGCTTGAACCGTAAAGGTGTGGCATCTGGAAATTCTTCCCCAAAACATAGAATAACTTTGCTGTTTGGGAAGGGACCTTGGCTGTTATAGTACTGGTGAAACTCTGCAAGAGAAGAGAAGAACAGCAAACATTTCATGTGTTAAAGGCAGGCGTGAACTGTTTTCCCACTATGGGCAACTGCAGAAGCCTGAAATGCACACACACAGCAAATACCGCAGCACCAGCTTCCCCTTTTGCTTTTTAGAGTATTCACATATTTATAGCTTTCACCAAGATAAAAGTGCTTTTAATCCAAGAATGAGCAACCTGTGGTTCTCCAGTTGGTGTTGGAGTGCAACTCCCATCAGCCTTAGCCAACAAAGCCAATGGTGAGGGTTTATGAGAGCTGCAGTCCAGCAAGGTATGGAGGACCACAAGTTTTCCACCCCTCTTTTAATCCATCACAAAGTTCAGAATTTTGACTAATTCATCTCCCGAGAGAGCAACTTAAGGTCTGACAGCGGACAGAAGAGACTGCTGTGACCTCACGCATCCTGCAATGCTGTGACAAAGCAAAGCAAGTGTAAAAAGCAGGTTTTCAGTTGCTGTCAAAGGCAAGTTTCTAGTCCTTAAGAATGAAAAATCTAGAAGTTTGGGGCAATGCCTGGCAAAAATTACTAAGTGGGCTTAGGCATTTCTTGGAGAGAAATGCAGGGATCGGTGTAACTAACCAATCAATTAACCGGCATGCGATCCTTAAGTATTCTTCCTTGTTTTGATGTCATTTCTACTTTCTGCGGAACTCTGCTGCTTATCTGGACTATGCCAGCACAGCATGTCAGTGCTGACTTGGTTTTAAGTTACAGCAGGTCACAGGACGAGGTTCTCATCCAGGGTGGGAAGCAAACCTGCCAGGAGAAAACCGCTCACACGGACCTCTGAGAAAGTGGTTGGTGTCGAAAATCTTGACGACTTCGTCCCGGTCCAGCTTGTTGGGCTTGTCCTTGTACAGCATGGTGTTCCCGCTCCAGAACACCCTGCCCTGGCTGAGCCGCTTGATGAAGATGCCCTGCTTGTTGCAATGGAGCAAGACGCCTCTCTCCAGGTGCCCAAACAGCTTCTTGGTGATTTGCCTCTGGCGCTCGTGGGGGATCGCGTCCGCCGACGGGAACCGCACGTGCTCCAGGCTCTCCAGGACGTAGGGAGATTCTCCAAGGGAGATGCGGCAGCCTTCGGGGCGAGTGGTGGTGGTGCTTCCCACCAGTTTCCCTCCATAATAGAAGTTGATCACCATCTGGGAGTGGCCTAGGGAGACACGGGAGGTAAGGACCTGCAGAGGGATGCTGGGAGGCCGTCCCCGCACCTGGGCGGCCAGGTAGCCATCCGGAAAAGGGGATGGCAGCGGGAGGGTCAAAGCAGGGCTGTGAGAGGTGAGTCCCACTTCTCTTGTGGGGGGAGACCTCTGTGAGGCCCCCTTTCTCACACCCACCACTTCCCTCCTCAAAGCCTTTTCCATTCGGTTCCCTTGGGAAAGCATTGAGCACAAATCCCCAGTCTTCAGGCGTGGCTGAAATTCAGCCTGCAAGCAGCTCGAAGCAAAGGGGACCGAAAGCTCCATTCCAAGCACGGCCTGCCTTGCTCACCCCACTCTTCCGTTTTTAACCCATAAAGCCCCACACAACTTGGGACTGCAGCAGCTGTCAGAGCATCGCTTCCAACTGCAAGCTAGGCAAATGGGGGAGAGGGGCTTTTCTTTGGTGGCCTCCCCATCTTTGAAACAACCTCCCTGCTGCAGCCCACCTGGTGCCAAACTTGCCATCTTTTTAGTGCCAGGTCAAGACAGCCCTTTATGTGGAGGACTTTAAAGATCCATTTGTTATCCAGGGTCCTCAAGAGATTACTCGGGTAATTCTTTTCCTTTGCAGAGTCTTTTTTACTGCATGTTTTTAGCTAATTTAAATGAATTTTACATTCACTTTAACAGGCTTTTGTTGTTAAGGTATTCGTATTGTATTGTATTGTATTTATTTATGGATTTATATCCTGCCTTTTTCCTACAAAGGGCTCAAGGCAGCTTACATCTCCTCCTCCGTCTTATCCCCACAACAACAACCCTGTGAGGTGGGTTGGGCTGAGAGTCTGTGACTGGCCCAGATTCACCCAGGTGGCTCCATGGCTGAGCGGGGACTCGAACTCGGATCGCCTGAGTCCCAGTCCCATGCTCTCAGCCACTACACCACACTGGCTCTTTTATTGTTTAGTTTTATATATTGTTGTAAACTGTCCAGAGACTTTAGCTGTGGGACAGTATAAAAATGAAATATATGAATCAGCATCGTTCCCCCATCTCAGATTTCCGGCTGTAAACTCCTGGGGACAAGCCTGTGTCGCTGTGTGTGCTGTAGAGCACATGGCCCAAACCCCTTTGAACGGCCTTTTCGAAAGGAGAAAACCATGCATTTCCATGGTACTGTAAGTCATCCCCAGTGCGCTCACAGGAATTACAGGACACACAATCCATCTGCATTATGTTTCCCTTTGCTGTAAGGAACCTGGCTGGACTCAGCCAGAGCCGCTTGATCTGGAAGGAGAAGGTATCCCTGGCTGTTTTGACTGGTCCGCAAGCGTGCAGAACTCGTCTCAGGTTGCAAAGAAAAGCAGAGGTTAACTGCACCGGATGTGAACCGACAGAGGAAGCAATGCTTTCTTTTAGCATACCTGAATGAAGTGGCTCGTAACTCGTAAAGCCACTCATCAGGGACAGAGCTGCAAATGAAAAAGGGGAAAAAAAGTTACACAAGTGTTTGTTTTTTCCTGTGTGCAGTTCTTCTCTGCTAGTCGCCAAACTGTGATTTTCACCTGCTAACGTTTTAGTTCTCTGCAGCAGAACCCGAAGAATCTGCCTCACACTCAGTTGATCAGTCATTGATTGATTTGATACACTGTCTCATTCCACCAAAGACAGTGGTCCTCAAGGAGGCGAACAGTAACGTTAAAAACACAGTTAAATAAACGTCATTAAAATTATCATAAAAACAAACAAAACATGCAATGTAAAAACACTACCATAAAATAAATAAAAATAGCACTAAAATCAACAGAAACCCTTTTGGCAACAGCTTGCTTATTTATTTATTTATTTAGTTAGTTAGTTAGTTATTTATTTATTTATTTATTTATTTATTGTCCGATTTATATCCTGCCTTTTTCCTACAAAGGGCTCAAGGCAGCTTACATCTTCTCCTCCATCTTATCCCCACAACAGCCCTGTGAGGTAGGTTGGGGTGGGAGTCTGTGACTGGCCCAAAGTCACCCAGGTGGCTCCATGGCTGAGCGGGGACTTGAACCCGGATCGTCCGAGTCCCAGTCCCATGCTCTTAACCGCTACACCACACTGCTTGAATAGAAACATCTGGTACAGGGAGAACAGGAGGAAACCAACTTAGCTTTCAGTGGCAGGGAGTTCCACAGCTTGGAGCCACCACGAAGAAGGCCCTCTCTCATGTCCCCACTAAATTGGACCCTTGGCCAGCGCCACCTGCTCTGACTTGCGGCCACTCCCAAGCATTTTTCTTTTACCCAAGATCTTCAGATGTGGAGATCCCTGCAGGCAAGAGCCAATTACCAACCACTAAGGGAATTTATGACCTCCTGCTACAAGGGGAGGAAGATGCCAGGTTGCTTCACCACTTCCTTCACAGTACCTTCTGAAGGACATATTTTGCTCTTACCAGGAGGTGACTGATGCATCCACCAGTCGGGGATTGGTGGATTTCGGCAAGTCTCTGGCAGTGGCGAAGGGCTTCTCTTTATTGTGCCGAGGTATTCCTCCACTCCTGAGGTGGGCTGCAGAGTTGACAGGGAAAGGGGGAAGAAGGGGGATTACTGAGACAACTGCGCTGACATTGCACAGATCTGTAGCTGTTCTGTCCCAACAGCTTCTTCTGTTGCTTTGCATGACCGCTTGTCTCCATCGAGTGACCTTGGACATGTTTGATCAGAGAAGAGTCCCGGGATTCCAATCACGCTGCGGCTAGATGGAAATCCAGGACATTTCTCTGTCTGAACATGTGTTGGATTGTGCCTGGAATCCTTCCCAACAGAAAGGGCCATGAAGATTTGTACCCAGTGCCAGTCTCATTTAGAGGCGGTCCACCAAAACAAATGGGATTCGACTATAATAAGATCGTATCCAATGAATCCTAAAAAATTAGCACTGTGTCTTGCACAAAGGTTTGACATGTGAAATCCTTCCACATGTTTTCCCCTGTGCAAAACTTGCAATATCTTGAAGAAGTCCTACAGTCGGCAATCAATTCCTCCAGTAACTAAGGGTGAGGGTTTCTCCCAGTCTTCTCCAACCAGGTGTTCTCCAGATGTGTGAGACTACAACCCCCTTCATCCTTCCCCGCTACATCCTTCGGACTACTATTCCCAGGGGCCCCCAGCTGGCATGACGACCATTGGTCAGCAGGCTGAGAATAAGAGTTGTCATTCAAAGCACTGCAGGGCAGCCAATCAGAAATGATTGATTTAGCTTCCCCTTGCTGCATCAGGCCACCGCTAAAAAGCCAGTAAAACCCACTGATCTTTCTGTGATTTTTATTTTGCCTTTGTTCCTGCAAGGAACCCAAGACAACTTACATCATCTGCCTCTTCCACTCCCTTTTATCCTCCTAGCAACCCTGCGAGGTAGGCTAGGCTGAGAGTTTGTTCCTGGCCCAGTGTCATCCCATGAGCTTCACGACCAAGTGGAACCAGGAGCTCATGAGTCCCAGTCCACGCCTTTAACCCCTCTGCCGCACGAGCTCTTATTCCCTCCCCAGACAAAGGTTTCCCGCTGCTTTCTCGATGTTGGCTTAGGTACCTTACTGCATTCAATTGCACCTTAAGCAAACAGTTTATCCCCCGTTTTGTCCTGTGAAACTGCTAGGAGACCATTTAGCCTCTTAACTGCTTTACTTCCTCCCCTTTGCAACTGAGCCTGCGCTCTGCAGCACCCTGAAGATCAGTGGCCTGCTGTCTCCTCTGAAATGCACGATTCCGAGCCAGCCCACGAGTCCAACCTTTTGCATGTGCTTTTTCCAGAAACTGTGGATACTATTGGCTCTTGCTTCCAAGGTAACCACTGAGTCTGGCAGCCCTGAATTTTTTGAGCTGCCAGCTGCCTGCATCTTGGCCTTCATAAAAAGAGAAAGTGAGCTTGGATTACTTGTTCTGGGTGCGACGGGAGTGGAATTTTAACATGTATCACCCCAGTCCATCCACTGCAATACACACAATAACACGCATGTGTCAAAACAGACAGGTCTGCACTTTCCTAGCTGCAAAATGGGTGCAAACGAGCTTCTCCATGTTGCACCCACATAATGTCCGACTTTCCTTCCCGTGCGAAGTCAGCAGGGGGGCTCTTGGGAAGAGGGGCTTCTTTGCTGCGGCACCTGACTCTGCAACAAGTTCCCCAGGAAGACTCGCCTGGCCCCTGCATCGCACTCCTTGCAGTCCCAGGTGCTGAGCAGCTTATTTGCTCAGGAATCCTCCCAGAAATTCTACTTTCAGGCTGTTTAAAATTCAGCACTGCATTTTAAATCTTCGTGCTGCTGCTTCACTCCACTTATTTGATTTGTATTTTATGCCATAGTCTTAACGAGTTATACTGTATTCTGCACTGCATTTCATGCCTTAAATTGTTTTTACGTTGTTTGAACTGCCCAGAGAGCTTCGGCTTTTGGGTAAAGGGAAAATATCATTGTTAAATAAATATATAAATGATAGAAGATAGATGGTCAGTATTTCATGGCACAGTCAATCATCAGTGGAGAAGAAGGGACTGGTTTTCAGTGTTTCAGTGGTAGGCATGTCATGAGTGGAGCCGGCTGGAGCCGGGGGTCAGACTAGATGGCCCGGGAGACCCCTTCTGGCTCACTCTGATTCTGTTTCTGTGTCTCCCCCTACCCCATTTTTCTTTCCTGCACAAATGCTCTTTACTGTTACTGGACTAAGGGATAGGCTGGTACTACACTGAGAGAAAGGAGAAAAGCAAACCCTTTTTGAACAATTGAGAGAGAGAGAGAGAGAGAGAGAGAGAGGGAGAGGTTTTAGCCCCACAGGGTTGGGGAAACCCGTTACCTCTTTCATCAAGTCCTCTATGGCAGAAGCATTGCACTCCATCTCCGGGACCTCACTCAGGCCGCACCCATTCACCATTCCCATTTTGCCTGGAAAGAAATACAGTTTGCAAGTCGTCATGTTACACGGTATATCAGAAGAAGATGGGGCTCCTGCTGCTGCTGAGACAGACTGACAAGCGGGCGTGAGAACGCGGAGGAAGGGAAGGGAAGGGAAGGGAAGGGAAGGGAAGGGAAGGGAAGGGAAGGGAAGGGGAATAAATGCACATGAGCGGGATGGTGGGTCCATTGCTAGGAAAAGGCAGGAAGGAAACCTTCCTCCAGGAATTTGCTCTACTTCCCCCCTTTCTAGCCTGGTACCCTGAAGAGGTTTGGAACTCCAGTTCCCATCAGCTCCACCCAGGCATTTTGCAGCGTTATGCAGTCACTCTCACTTTTTTTGCTGCACAGATTCCCTTTTCCCGATACAGGAAAAATGGACAAAGTAGTAGGAAAACAATAGGAAAGCTACAAACGGAAGGTACTTTGTCTGGTCCTGCATAAAATTCTACAAATGATCAGGATAAGTGCACAGTAAAAGCCTCATCTGAAACACTCCTGAGGTTTTCTCACATGAAACCAAAGGGACTGCAGAAAAACAGAGATATATTTGTACATTCTTTCATGTTAAAAGAAGCCAAAATGCCCCTCTGAGATGGTTGCTCGGCAGTGCTCCGGTTAATGGTGAGGAGACAGGAGAAAAGAAAGCAAAGGGGAATTGGTATTGTTTTTCACATGGGATGCCAAACTTCTTTCAGTCTAAGAGACAACCTTTGCCTTGTGAAAGGGCTGTTCCAAAAATGCCAGCCTGTTCTAGTTTAAAACTCTGAACTGACAATTCGAGGCCTTGAGAGAGACAAGTCAGCCTTTTCGAAAGGGGGAAAAACCTGCGCAATAGCCAGAAAAACCACAAACAGTAGTTGAGGGAAAGGAGGCAAGACTGCTTGAGAACCTCAGGGGGCCAAGAGGGCCCCAGACCCTGCTTGAAATGCTATCTGAGCAGGGGCCAACTGGTCTTAAATGGAAAGGAGAGGGGGCAAACTTCACGGAAGGGCCCAGCACTTTCCGCCTGCTGTCACCCAAGCACTGATGTAACCCTGAACCCCAAAGTCACTTCCCAGGCAGGAGGGATTTCCAAAAACTCTGCAAGATGAGCGCTTGCATGAAGGCAGCATAGGGTCAGGTGCTAAGCAGTAAATTTCTTGACAACTCAGTGTCATATGCTTGAAAAGACACCACACCAAAAAAGAAACAAAAAACCACAGATAAAAATACGACAGAGCGCGGCTTGTGTATTACCGGAGCTTTCAGAGACAGCCGTTCTGCATTCTGTGACTGTAACCACAAAAGACCACTCTTTTTTATCTTTTTTACACTAACAGAGAGCCAATGGGTGAGGCAGGGGAGAAATAAGTTCTCTTGCTCTCCTTTGGAAGGGAGAGCAAAGATAGAACAAAAGCTCTCTGAATAACTATGCAAGAGGTTTCAGGGAATCCACACTGGTCATTCAGCAAGTGAGGTTTCCAAGAAAGCTCCAGGGGTTTGGGGACATCACAAGTAAAAACCATTCTGATGTACTCATGCAGTTTCCCAGAATATCAAATCCTGATGTGTGGCAAGCTCTATCGACTGCTCTGGAAGGCAGAGGAAACTCCCTTGGGATTTCTCATTACAGTTACAAATAACCTCATCGTAAGAACAGATGAATAACAGCTTTAGATCAAAACATATGATTTGAAAGGACTAAGGACAAGTTACGACTGATGTACAGAGAGTGGGGAGCAGGACTGAGCCCACCCACCTGCAGTGTGGGCATTCGGCACCGGCCAGTATCATAACCTTGTGATAATCCGTGGAAGTACAAATGCCACGTACAACAGGGGACCCCATGGGAAAAGGTCCCTGCAGCAACACAGGTGTGATTAAGCTTAAAAATGGATTTGCACACTTTGAATTTGGGTTGAATGAATGCGACAGAACTATTTGTTTCGTGGGGAAAGGTGTTCAGCACTTTCCTTTATGGAAAGACATTCAGAGTGACTTGCACTGTTTTTAATATTTCCCTCCTGGGAAACAGCTGCTTGGCTGGTTTGAAACCGGTGGCTGGCATCCTCCGTGTGCAGGGGTGTGGCCAGGCCTCGGCCCATGGAGACCCATCCTCAGAGCTGTTTGTCATGTCCCCAGATTTCTTCCTGAGAGCCCCAAGTCCCCACTGATACCAATGGAAATGCTTTGTCCTCAGCTTAATCTCCATGTTGGTTGCAATTTCCATGGGAGATTTAAGCTGGGGAGAGAAGCATTAATCCAAATTCTGTGATCCCCCCACCCTCCCTTCTGCAATGCAACTGGGCTTAGAAAAAATCACCACCTGGGTGATACCAGGGCATTTTCCCTTGTGCTTATCTATCATGCTGTGCGGAGGGCAGGCATTACCTCCCCGTCGCAGCTGGGGGGGAAGAGTCAGCCCTCCCTTCCCCGTACCCTGTGCCCTCCCCAGAAAGGAAATTCCCCCTCTGCATAGCAATTACCCTTATGGGAAAACCCTCTCCATCCGTGCCAATGACCTGGTAATGCCCCTGTGGACACAGACAAGCGCAAGAGCTCTGCACCGACTCCCCTCCATGCCTGTGGCCAAAGCTGCAGCATCCACATGGGCCCGCACAGTGAGATCTCAGCTGCTGGGTGGAGAGATAGAAATCCTGACTATGTGCCTGGCTCTGTCACACTTACATTTCTGTTCTTCCTCTGGAACAATGCGGTAGACCTTGTATGGCTCGGAGATGTCCAGCTGGGATCTGTCCGTCACTTCTTCAAAATCTGGGCTCTTATTCAAGGCACAGCGCAACCTTGTCTTCCAAGTGGCTGGCTCTGCCTTGTCACCTTCCTTGAATTTGCCTTTGAATATTGCCCATGCCTAGCGGACAAAGCAAGAAGGTTTCTCAAGCTGAGTCTTCCCCAACCTGGGCGCCCTGCAGATGTGCTGGGCTGCACCTCCCACAAGTGCCAGACTGGGGAAGGCCTCCCTAAGCTAAGAAGGATTTCTCCCAAGGAAGTCTGAGAGCAAAGTGATCCCCACAAACACAGGTGTGTTGATGGGCACCCAGTTTTATAAACCCTTTCTGGGCTTCTCCTCACTGTCCCACAGAGTCAAGACCACAGCTACACTTAACCTTCTGGCTCTCCATTCTAAAAGTTTTATACAGTTCTCGAATATATAGCTGCTTTTTAAAAAATTATTCCTGTAGTGCTGTATTCCTTTTTTCTGTCACTAGGTGTCTCTATAGCACTCTTTGCACAGCTAACAGACTCTTTGGCATAGTGACAGTTTAAAAGCAAAACACAAAAAGAAATTATCCAAGTAAGACAGACATTCACACTTTCTACACAAAGAGAATAAAGCCAGTCCCGACCCATGAGGCCATGCCACACTTCATTCATACAAGCACCCAAACTCCATACACACCATGTGAAAGGACTTGCAGGAAAAAAGGGAGGGTAGTTCCAATTGTACTGCTGAAAAAAGCCTTTTCTTTCTACCCTACAATTTTCCGAACACATCTAAGACTAAAGCCCCATGCAGAACAGAAAGAACATGTATAGAGGGCTGAGTAACAAAAACTCACCCACACAGAATTCTGAAAACTTCATACCAGAGTGGTCTAAACTAAGCAACCAACAATTCTCTACAAAGAACAACGACTCAAGAAGAAGAGTCACGTTGGCTCTGTCTCACCAGAGACAGGCTGGCAATACCTTGAAGATGGATGCGTCCACCTCCTGGTTGTAATCCTGTTTGCCCGCGTGCTTCCATGGAATACGAAACATGGTCTTCTCATCATCCTCCCAGATCAGCCCAGGATACATCCCGCTATTGATCTGTTCAATCAGCCACTGCCGCAGCCTTCTCCCACTGTTTCGGTCACACATTCTGCATGGAAAGAGCTTCTGTAAGCAGCCTCCCAGATCAGTTAGCCGGTCCCACCCTGCAGTCTAGCAAAGTCGAAGATGGCCAGAGGTTCAACATCAACGCTCGCCGATCCTTTGCAGGTTCACCATACATTTTAAACCAGGGTCAGGGCTTGGTACGAAAAACATCCAGGGCTCAGCTCCCTGTGCATTCCCTTAAAGAACCTTGTCCGCTAAAGACATCCCTATTTGTAAAGGGCTGGAGGGAGAGGATTTCAGCAAGAAATGGCCTTAGGGAGAGTCAATCAGGGGCAGCAGGAGATGCAGTGCATGTGAGCAAAAGACTCGCTACACTTGGCTCCGCACCCATTTTTAAATGGACCTTGAAGAGCTGGATGTGTGAGTTCCTTTTTCATTGGTGCAGCTCTCCTGTTTCGCACTGCCTAGCTTTAACCTCTGACGTTCATTTTACTCTTGGTCTGAATAGAAATGGTTTTTAATGCAGCCAGTTTGGTTAACTGTAAGACTGTTTGATGGTTCTCCTTTTCTTTTCTAAACTGCCTTAAGGAGCCTTTGCATTTGGAGGTGAAAAATAGATTCTAGTATTTTAAATGGATGGTCGATAAAAGCAATGTGAAGCAAAACTAAGCAATGCTAATTCCTGACTTAAGCATGCTATCTTGCCCTTTTGGTGACTCCAGTAAAATAAGTTAAACCTTAAAAAACTTAAACATGAGCATGAAATGAAATGAAGTACAAAATGCCAGGCTTAATGTCACGGATTGGTTAAATTTGTTTCTCACTTTTTCTCCAAGGAGTGTAAGGGAGGGAATATGATTCCGGTACTTTCCACTGTATCCTGACAGCAGTCCTGTGAAGTAGGCTAAGAGTCAGTGACCGTCCCGACGTCAGCCACTGAGCTTCGTAGCTGAGTAAGGAGTCGCACTCAACTCTCCTGAAACCCAGTCCAGCATTCTAACCACTGCGCCGCCCACGGTGCCAGTGGGGCTCAGCCTTTTTCATCCCACTCGCAGAACATCGCTTCAAGCTCCAACTGGCTCTCCAAGCGGAACAAAGTCCTACAGCAGTAGAAGAGCCATCAGTGATGTATGTCCTCTCCCCTCTTTTCATAAATGTGCTGCATGGATGGGAACCTAAGGTCCTGGCTTGCATCCAGTCACACCATCGGTCCGCCACACTCAGGAAGGCTGCCCTGCTGCATAAGGCCAAACGCCCATGCAGTCCAGCATCCAGCTCACCAAGAGGCCAACTGTGTGCCCCACGGGGAAGCCTATAAGCAGAGCATGAGTCCTGGCAGCAGTAATCTGGCCTCATGCTCCAGGAGCTGGCAACCTGGGCCTACCGCCTCTGCTACCAGAGGACACGCTCCGGGAGCCATCAGAACCAATAGCCCTTGATAGCTTTATTAGCAGGCCAGTGTGGTGCAGTGGTTAAAGGCAAGGAACTGGGACTCAGGCAGTCCGGGTTCGAGTCCCCACTCAGCCATGGAGCCAACTGGGTGACTTTGGGCCAGTCACAGCCTCTCAGCCCAGCCTACCTTGCAGGTCAGGATAAGACTGAAAGCAGGAGAAGGAGTATGAAGGAAGCTGCTCTGAGTTAGTTATAAGAAAAAAGCAGGATATAAATCTAATAAATAAATAAATAAATAAACCCTCCGGGAATTTGTCACATCCCCTTTCAAAGCCATTCAAGTTGGGGGCCATCATCACATGTCATGGTAGTAAGTTCCATAGTTTATCAATGAACTTTGGGGGAAAGTCCTCTAAGCAGCTGTTTTCGAGGGTTTCAGGTGGGGTTATTCCCAATCCCACTTGGAGATGTCCAAGACTAAACCTGCAACTGTCTGTGTGCAGCACAGGGGCTCCATCGCCCATGTTGGGGTCCCTCTCTTTGGTGCACAGACCCCAGCCAAGTCACCGTGTTGCAGCAATGTCAGCCAAGGTCTTCCAGCCCCAGGTTAAAGATATCAGCGGCACTCAGGTCAACCGTGACAGAGGTTCGTCTAATCCCAACAAACCATGTTTTTTCCGGGAAGCCCACAGACCGGCTAAAAGGGCAGCAGGACAGCTGATCTGATATGGCCTGGCTTTTGTGGGCCTCTTCACCAAGCACAGGGTGGTGTCCGTTACGAGGCAAAGTACTCATAAAATTCTCTATCCCACCCTCTTGAGTTTTTTAGAAAGCTTAAAAAGTAGAATTACTTTCTACAGTGAGTCAAATGACTTCCCATGGTGTTATGGGAGGACAGTCCCTTCTATTTAATGTTCTCTGTCTTCTAATGTTTTTAACAGATTGCTTTTCTTTTTCCATATGTTTTCACTTTGTGAAATCTTTCCCCACTTGGAAGCAGAGCAGCAGTCAAACACCACAAATAAATAAATGCATAAACGTTTAACCTTTCGCCTCTGCTGTGTCCCTGATCTAACCCCCACCCCAAGAAGCTGGGGGCTTCTCTTGGGGGGGGGGTGACAGGGGGACACGTGCACACACACGAATAGGGAGGCTGAGAACACAGAAAAATCCAGAACAACACCGTCAGCTGCAGATGCAGTTCCGATGCCTTTTGAGGAAACGCCTCGCCAAGGGACACGTTTCATGCTTCTTGACAAAAATGGCTGGGGACACGTTTCTGCCCCCAGAGAAGGGAGCTGTAGCAGAAAAGTCAGTCCAAACAGTTTCTAATCAAGACGCATGAAACGTTTCCCTTGATAAGGAGCTCTTTTGAAATGGATCTTGGAGCCAAGCCTACTGAGCAAAGGCTTGCTTATTCCTGGAATTAATGGGAGTTGGTATATCTAATCAGAAGACAGAGGTAAAAAGAAGAAAACTAATTTTCTGCTGTTATTGGTGTTTTACAAAGGGAAGTGAGAGGGTAAAATGACCCCCTGCGGAGAGTGGGGGCTCCCCTTGGCGACTCTCAACCCAAGTGAGCAGCAATTCTGTCCGCCCCTATCCAGACCTTCAACAGGCCATATCCGCAAGGTATAGGATCGCAGCCTTCTTCTCGAGAGAGATACTGATATATCTGCACTAGTGCATCAGAATGCACTAAGGAAGAATTCCATATGAAAAAGTTAGGATGCGGTATTGAGGCAAATGGTTATTAGAAGACATAAAGCGAAGGAAACGGGCAGGGCGTCTCCGAGGTTTTTGAAATGTGGTGGCGGTGAAAGCTCAAGAATTAAGCGTGAACAGGGCAGAGGAGCCAAATTTAAGTGCAAACGCAAAACTCCTTGTACGCCTTCTAAAAAAGACTTTAATTCTCCCTGCAAAGAAGCAACAAGTCAGAAGAGAATCCATCCCTCTCACGGACCCTGTCGCTTGGAAAGAGGAACTGCGGCACTTATTATGACTTCTACATCTTAATGAATAATTTCTGCTGCACTTTTTCGTAGAAAAGCTAGCAACGGGTTTTAAGGACTGGGTTTTTGCCTCTTCACTCCCGCCCCGCCCTACCACTCAGACGCACGCATTGGTAGAACCCGAAGCGGTGCGAGTCTCTTTCGCACATGTACGTGAGAATAAGTCCAAGGAACCCATGGAGTGCATTCTGAGTAAGTACGCTGAAGAGAAGTTACCCACAGTCACACACACAGAGCGGAAGGAGGAGCGAAACAGGCGGCCAGCTTACCTTAAAATAAGTCCAACGGAACTTTATTTCCGAGTAGACTTCTAAGAGTATTCCGTTACAGTACAGTTCTTGGCACGCTCACTTACAAGTAAGTCCCACTGACTTACAAATGAGCGTGCACAATTTGAGGAAGACGAACGAAGCTCAGATGTAAGGCAGTGGGGGAAAACGCAAAACCAAGCCCCAGTCGCGTAAGATTGACCGACCCGGGAAGGAACTAATGAGAGTTGTGGAATCTATTAGCGGCAACCCTCCGAGCCAAATAGCAATTTTTTTCTCCGTGCAAAAGGAAAAGTCAAGCAAAGAGGTACATTGGCCCTCCGACAGCCTTCTGCTAACCCAGAAAGTGGGCACAAGATGTTTCGCTCTCCTATGCACCCGCCTGGACACACGCACGCACACGCACACACCGCTGACCTCCACATCCGTGCGTTTTGCAGCCGCACTTTGCCGTTTTCGCCGCCAGATACTGCGCCAAGAGGTTACAGAGATACTCGCCCGCCCATCTATATGGTTTTTATATATACCGTGCAGCTCCGGAGAGAAGTGCGCGGGAGGATGCGCGGTTGCCACCCCGCGGTGGCCTTGCAGCCAATGACGACTGGAGAGAAGAAGGCGACCTGGCCAATGAGGAGGGCTGAGGAGATGGCCTTCTCCGCATCGCCTTCGCTTCCGAGAAATCGGCGGCGGCGCGCGCCTCTCTGCCTGCTGCGGTCGCCCGGGTGGCTCGCCATTCCCGGGTCAGCGTTCCATTCCCGGGTCAACGTTCCATTCCCGGGTCAGCGTTCCATTCCCGGTCCTTGCTTCCTCGTGCTGCCGCTCCGTGCGCCGAGGCGCCCGTGCGCCCGAATCTCCGGCGATTTGGGCGATCGGGAAGGGAGCGGGGTACCCCAGCCAGCCTGGAGCGCTCCGCTTTCCCCACCACCACCCTCCCCCCCGGGCTTCTGGCGTGTCCTCAGCGCTCCCCCAGCGTCGCCACCCCTGCTGTCCTCCCGCGCTCCGTGCGTTGCTACAACGCGCTCGAAGTGATGCGGAGCGGAGCCCACTCGGGCCTGCCGAAAGCGGGCAGAGAGCTGGTCAACTGTGTGCGCAGTGGGGTGATTCCAGCCGAGGTTGTGGGAAGTGCGTCCTCTCGGAAATGCGAGCGTTGCTTGCTTGGAAACGGACCGGCTGGTAGTCTGAGGATTTCCCGTAATCTCATGATGCTGGGCCGGCAGGTTTTTCTCAGCGCTGAAGTAGCAGCGCGGGCAAAAACTCCACCACACCCCCGAACACACACGCGGGCCAAAATCGAGAGACTGCTTTCCAGGGCTCCTAAAAGCAACCTGTTTCTGGAAGAGTCCCCTCTGAGTTCCTCGCAGCTCAGAGAAACATCTGGACCTGCCTGGGCTTGAGTAAAACCTTGGTCCAGCAGCGGTCTCCCAGGCATCCGGACAAGATATTTGCATAGATCCCCCGCTTGCGGAGCAGGGGGAAATCACAATTCCCTCGCCCATTGCCCCTGCAGTGGAGAGGACGTCCCTCCCCGATAGAAGAGCTTCTCCAAAGAGCCCCCCTCCCCCCGCACCTTCTTGATGCTCTTTTCTGTGCCAGGTGGAGACTTAAGCATTGACCCAGCCTTTCCTTTAAAACACTCCGTTGGCTGGTGCACTTTGCCCTGCTATTTACTTGGAGCAGCTGATGGTTTTAGCCAGTCCCTGTTGGAAAGAAGGGGCTTTTCTTTAAAATACAAGATATTTATTGTTTCTCATTCATCTTGCGTTTTTGCCACCGTGTTTGCCTTGATCTGTAAGCCGCCAGGTAATATTTGCTGATGGCAGGCCCTGTAACGTGTGAGCCAAAGCAATCCTTCAATCCAGTGCAGTGCTGAGTTAACCTCCAGGCTTTTCTAAACGCCATCCAGGGAGTCCCGTGTAGAGGCGCAACATCTCCTGAGTGGCTGAGAGCCCTGGAGAATCGCAGGGCCCCAATAAAGGACAGCAAAGTGCCGGCCACAGTCCAGGGTCCCTCTCCACCCACTACAAACTTAGATCATCACAGTTTAAATGCTTTGTCAAGCTCAGTTCCTCTTCCTTGCCATCTCTGTGTGCTGCACGGTGACTACAACCAGATAAGAAGGTCATTCCAAAATATTTGCTCTGGGGGGAATCAGCAGCATACCAGGAAGTGAAATTAATCCAAATCATCATGGGCTGGGTTTTAAAAAAAAAAAACCCATCACCTCCTATTTCCTAGATGTTCGAGATTCATCAAAAGCCACTGACCAAATTCCTGGAAACCTAGAAGTTGAATTATTACTGGTCTCTAGTATCTTGATTTCAAACACACTGATTTAAAAGTCTAACTGATTTCAGTGGAAGTCATATCTACATAAAGATGCAAATCTCTCTGCAAATTTAAACAGAAAAATGTCCCCAGCCAGCCATGCCAGGCATTGTGAGACACAGTTGTGTCTAAACACATAGCAAGGGTCACACCCTAAATGTGTTTTGATGATTGAAGCTTTGGAAAGATTGTTGATACAAGCTTAGGGGAGACAACCAGGATCACAGCAAAGCATCATTTTTACAGCTGGGACTATGTTCTTTTATTTGCCTGGAAAAAACAGGAATACAGGGGAGATTTGAGGCTTGCAACTTGGTTTTGTACCTGATTTTCTTACTAAGGGACTTCCCATCAGAAGGCAGAATGTGCCATTTAGGAAAACGCCATCCTATGCAAGGAGTGGCAAGACAGAATCGTCCCAGTCCAAATCCCTGTCTTTGAGCCACGTATCCTTACATATCCTCTGTCTGTTGGTAACGCCTCTTGCAAATGTAATCTCTGCTTATCACATATCTACTACAACTTCCTATTCCCACCAGCCTCTTTCCAATGGCTGTGTTCCACTCTTGGCTTCCTGAGCCGTTTACAGAGTAGCCAGACATACTGTCTGGTTTCTTCCTCACTTCCTTCCTAGCGCATTTTGATGAACAGCAGAATTTGCAATTGCAGTTGCTTCTCGGATTGGTTGCAGACCAAGGAAGGAGGTTGTTGGCATTGTCTTGCAGCAATTGTTCTGCTAGTTGCTTGGAAGACTGTCATTCTGAAAGGCCAAGGAGACTGGTGCAGTAGAATATCCCCAAAAGGCCAGAAGACCCTCATTTTCCTAGATCTGGCATAGGTAAATTTGGGGATTTCAGGGGGTATTTTCTCACATGCATGGCCAGATGCCCTCACAAGCCGATCTCCTGCCTTGTCAACTAATCTGCTGCACGATTAATATGAGGGAGGCAAAAAGTAGCAATTTACCAGAAAACAAAACAACCAGCCAATGCTCACTCAAAAACAAGATAGATTTAGCGGTTTTGGCTTTTCGCAACTGCTTGTGGCTGAAATTCGGTGACAAACCACCAGTTCTTCTGGCAGCCACTGCCACAAGTTCCAGTGGCACAGAGCCCAAGCGAACAACCATGAGGTAGATCAATTGTCAGGCTGGGGTTCCAGGCAGAAATCTTGCCGGCCGTCCACACCATGTTGTGGGTGAAATATGCCTCCTTCCCTAGCTAGCGGGCTCGTGTGATTCGGATCTGAAATGGCATGGGTGCTAGCTTGGAAGTCATGGAAACCGACTGGACAGTCCCCATGATGTTCCCATGAGTGAGTGGTCCAGTTCTTGCCGCCATTAACGCCCCAAACTGACCCCCGGCAAAGAGGGAAAATGTTGCAGGAGTCAAAGCCAAATAGCCTTAAGGCCGGGCTAAATCTTGGACTAGTTGCAACCTTTTGCAAGTCTCTTTAAACTTTTCTCTACTGGTCTGCACCTAGGGGATGCTGCTACTAATCTTCACACTTCCTCTTGGGTGGAGCCAGCCTGAGTTGTCCAACAGTGAACTGGATGCTGGAGAATTCCAAATCTCATGCCAGTTTTAACATCCCCCCCCTCCCCATTGGGACGACACCAATAAATACATAAGAAGCATTCATTAAACTGGAAGCTCGGACTTGGGAGCCCAATTCAGCCTTCCATGGTTTTTGTGCCTTCTTCCCCCCTTCTGAATAGTTGAACCCCCTCCCAAAAAGCTTCAGTTCCCGGTGGGAAGTGCTTGAAGCTAAAACAAGCCGCTCTTTGAGGATTTTTGGACCTGCCCCTTCGTTCCACCCACCGCTGGAACTGAGGGGAGATATTTCCATTCAGCACTCAAGGTGAAAAGGTTCTTTGGACTGAAGTGAGGATGTGGCATCGGACAAGCACTGAACACGGCTCCATATGGTTTGATGTTAATCCAGGGAAGTGCAGACCGGTGCATTCCCAGTTCACTGGGAAACACCATCAAGTTTGGATTTTGGAAGCCCTTGACACAGACACACTCAAAGTCATTTGAGGCATGTTCACCCTGTTGCATTTGCAATTTAATTAAACTGATGCAGGATATTTTGGGGAAGTGCAACGTTCTGCCTGTATAAAAGGCATTTGGGATACAGGGAGGGAAAGGAGACAAACAACCCGGGAATTGAGAAAACAAACCGCTGTCCATTCAATGGTTTGCCAAACAGAAGCTGAGTTGACTAAACCATGGGCTAGCCAAGCCAGGCCAAAGTCCACAAGAATCAGAAGCACACTTCCAACAAATGGCCACATGGGACCCAGGGTAGTGAAGAAATGCTACCAATGGCTGTGTTCAAAAGTGAAAAGTGCCCGTGCTCTCAGTCTTGCTCGCAGACATTTCCCCTCTGGAAGGGTGAGCGAGTCTGCTGCCATCTTCTCAAAGTGCCAGGTGCCGGTGCGAGTGCGTTTCAAGTGTCTCCTTCTGGAATGGTGACCGTTGGCTCCAGACCATCTCCATCAGCTCTCCTGGACCTTCGGAAGCCCTCAAGAACCGTGCAAAAGTAGAGCACCTGCAGTGCCGCTCAAAGAGATCCGCTGGGGCAGCCGACCCAGGTGATTCTGTCTCAGAGCCAGGTTGCAAAATAAGGGGGGGTCTGGCTCTCCCCACCTGAGAATGCCCACTGAGAGCTCCTTTCCAAGAGGTAATGCATCTACTCACTAGTCACCGCAGACCGAAACAACCAAACTGCTCTTTCTAAAACGAAATTGGGCGAGTTGAGCCCAAGTCTCTAAGGCAGCCTCCCCCGCCTCAGTTCCCTCCAGGCACGCTGGACTTCAGCCCTCCTCCTCCCCCGATGGCTCAAGATGGCAGGAGGCACCATTCGACCCATCTGAAGGGCTTCTGGCTGGAAGAGCTCTTGCTATCTGTTCATCCACCGGCTGCTGTTGGCATAGGTGGTGTGCGGGCGGGGACTCGGCGGGCTCGGACGGTGCATCCAGGTGGCCTCTCTCAGCCCGGCTTGCTGCTCCTTGACCTTCTCCTCCTGCAGCGTCAGCAAGCGCTGCAGCTCTGCCTGGTCATTGAAAGGATTCTTACCATATTCCGTTTGGATCCAGGCACGGTACTGCCGAGAAGAAAGGCCAGAGGTGGGTAAGCTGGGTGCCCAGGGCAAGAGCCGGGATGAAGGCAGTCTGCGGGGGGGGAGGGGGGGCAGGCACTCATGCTCAGCGGGGCAGGCTGGACTGCCCAAATGGCAGCGACATCACAGGTCTCCTTCAGAAATGGTTTCTTAACACACGTAACCATGAAGGAAGCTGTCTTATACCAGGCCAGGAAGTCCATCCATCCACCCCCCGGTTGCTGTCCAAGCCAGGAACAAAATCTGACCACCCAATTGCCCAATAGTGGCTGCCCATCCCTGCACCGGAGTGAGTCAGAAGGTTTAGACCGACTGGTGGCAGCCCATGCCACCAAGGAGAGTGAAAGGTAACATAAGGTCCCGGGTTCATACTGGCCCGGCGTCCTTGGAGGAAAAGTTGCATGCACATGAACGGCACTGGCTTGGTCCAGCCATAGTTGTCATGGGCAGGCAGTGACATGCGAAAGCCAATCTCTCCAGGTGTGAAGACAGATGTGGTGTCACACCAAACATCCAGCTAGCTCAACACGGCTGGAATGTAATATGGGCAGTGATACGGCTCTGACGCAGCGTCCCCCAACCTGGATGTGTCGAGCATGACTCTCATAATCCCCAGCTCCTAACAGCTGGGCATGATGGGCACTGTGGTCCAGCACAGCTGGAAGGCTGCTTCACTTAACTTCAGGAAACTGCTCCTATTTATAGATCTCTCTGTGCGTGTGTTGAAGGCCGAGACAACAGTCTGCGATTATTTCTGTTCTTCTCTAACACCGTCAGCCAGTACATTTCCCTCCTGCAGCCCCGTCTCTTCAGCATGCAAAATTCTGACTATTATAAGCAAAATAAAGAAACAGCTCCGTTATTGAGTGCAGAATCATAGCTAACTCTGGGTAAAGCAGTCGAGCCATTTCAATGTTCTATTTAAAAAGAAAAGAGCGCACTGTGTGTAAAATTCAACCCAGAAAAAGCACTGTGAATTCTCCCCGCCCCCCCCCCACCGCTCTCTCTCGCTCATATAGTGGTGTTTTATGGTCCCCTGGTGAGTCCTGCTTTCAATGGGTTCCCACCAAATTTTGGGGGACTTCCAGTGGGAATTTCTGGTGTTTCTCTTGCAATGACAGATCCGCCCTGTGCAAAGCAGAAACCTGCTGCTTGGGGGCCGTCAGCACATTGCTGGTAATCAGAAAAGCAGGCAAGGATTTTGCTTGCAGGTGCCACTGGTGACAGACTGGTTGGACAGACTGCTTGGTTTCCTCCTATATGGCAGCTCAACGGAAGATCCAGCATGGCAGGCCGAGGGTCTAACTTGAGAAATAACTCTGTCTTATCAGCTGGACTAATATTCTCTCCTCTGTGCGTGAGACTTATACCCCCTACCCCATGTGCGCATCCTCTGCTTCCTCTCTTCTACCCCCGTTTTGCATTATTTAAATGAGACCAGACAAGCCAGTGTTTCGAACTGCAATTGCAATTACATTCCACTTCCTGCTCATGGCTATTCCTTGTCAGTCATGCCTTTCCCAAGTGAAAGCCGATATTCAAGGACTCCCCTATTTAACTAACAACAGAGCTTATGCGAGTTGTACTTTCCTTTTTCTTCTCTCACTTACTTCAAAAACTCTCAAAACTCTAATTACAAAAACATCCACAGCATTAGTTTTCTCTTGCCTGGAGGGAAGCTCTGTGGTCCTTCTTTCCTCTTCTGAGCTAACCAGCTAAAAATGTCCCTTCCTTTTCTATCACCGATATCCTGCATAAAGGTGCCAACCTCTCTCCTTTGTACAAGCCACACAGAGATGTTTGTAGTAGAAACAACAGCCTCTTAACCAAATCCACCTCGCAATATCGCATCCCAAGTCTTCATGGATGGCGAGCACACGCACAGATGCACCAGGAGGTTTGCTTACTGGGAACCGTTGCGGGCTGCTGGTTGCGGAAAGCAGAGCTGTGCTGTGGTCCGCAAGACGTCCCACTCCAGCCTTTAATTCCTGTCCAGCCATGCTGTGAGGAAGTTTCTGTGCAGGCCGCACTGTCCACCCACAAGAGGGGAAGGGTAATTCACAGGAAAATCTCTCTGGTGTGGGCAGAGGATCTGGGCAATCCCATGGGCCGCTTGCCAGCAGCAGGGCTATGAATGCCCTTGGGCTGAAAAGGGCTCCTCCATGGCCACCCGTGCCCAGAGACACCTTTCCCACTCCCAGAGTCCGAGAGCCCTGCCCTTTGCACCGCCCAGCCTCAGGCCCCGCTCCCTGCCTGTGGGAACGTTTTGTCCTGCAAGGGCGAAAGTGTGCCGTGCCCAGATCAGCTGAATTCATGGAGGTGGAGATCTCTCCCCTCAGGGGGAAATCCAGGCTCAGCAGTTTTGCAAGCCGCTGGGCATTTTTCCCCCAAGGCCTCCTCGGCGGGCCGTGTCTGCCAGGCGCCGCTCCATCATGTGCCTAGAAGTGCTTTCCACCCCGCGCAGCCCACTCGCCAGCACGCGGTTTTCTCAGAATGCACCCAGCTTCAGCAGGGTATTTTCCTACGAGAAAAATAATCTCACACACAAACACACACATGCTTCCTGAGAAGGAAGTTAACACAGAGGGCAGTCACCCAGGCAAGCCGATGCTTCGCTGCCCTGGGACTCTCAGACACGGTTTCAGCCTCTGGATAGAAAGCCTCGGTGGAGGGCCAGGGCAGGGGCGCCTCTTTAGGAGGGAGTGTGTGCTGCTTCCGTTGCTTCAGATTGTGGCAAGCCAGCCAGGCTGCGAAGGAGCCATCCTCCTCTTCCAAGGCCCCCGGGCAGCAGCCCCGAAGTCCTACTCTCGGGGATCCACTGCCCAGTGAGAAACTCCAGCGATGCTAAAGCAGGGCAAGGGGCGGGGGGCAGAATTTCCCTTTGCCTACCAAGAAACAAACAAGGCTGCAAAGAAAAGAGCACTTTGCAACGAAGGCTTGGCATCCTCATAAAAATCAACGTGCACAAAGCATTTTCCCATCTCACTGTGCAGCAGCATCCTTCCAATGGTTACAGAGAGGAAGACAGCGGCTGTGTCCACTCAACAGGACGAGTGGCCCTGCGTGGCTCCCACGGTTTGCTGATTTCCACCATGGTCAGTGTGACGATCAGCTAATGTCTATATTATTGTGGCTTCCATCCTCCCCACTCAAGTCCTCCCGCCGTTGACATACATCCCACCCCCTGCTAGGCCTGTGGTTCCATCCCAAGGTGCAGTGCTCCCTGCCTGCATTCACCTGCCTCTTCTTCACTGGGCCATGCCTAAACATAGAAACAGAGCGAGTCAGAAGGGGTCTCCCGGGCCATCTAGTCTGACCCCCGGCTCCACCTGGCTCTGCCCACAACATGCCCACCATGTGCATGTCCAGCCTATCCTTGAACACCCGCACCAATGGGGCCTCAACCACCTCCCGTGGAAGCCCATTCCACACCCTCAGGGTCCTGACTGTCAGGAAGTGCTTCCTGGCACCTAAATGGAACCTGGGTTCCCTGAGCTTGGCTCCGTTGGAGCGCGCCCGGCCTTCCTAGAGACAGTATGCGTGGAATGGCTGCTGCAGGGACCATGGAAACCACAAACCTGGCTTCAGACGACACAAGAAACCACGGTGGCAGAGGGAGACTTTCGAAGAAAACATTGTTTCTTATCATGGTTTCTAAAGACCGTGGTGAAACGCCACGACCGAATGCCTACCTCCTTCAGCAAAGTCATTTCATACTCCTGAAGCTGCTCCTGGAAGCCGAAGTTGGGGCTCACGTACGAGCGAACTGCCTTGGTGGCGGTCAAGCACTCTTCCCAGCCAAGGCTGGTCACCGTCATGAGGTAAGCCACCAAAATGGTGGTGCTCCGGGAAACTCCAGCTAGGCTGTCACAGCAAAACACAGAAGCAAAGTCTTGAGATTACAAAAAGAGCTGTCAGAAAATTCCCATCACGATGGCAATGACGCTCAGCCATGTCATTGGGAAGGGAGAGCGCCATTCCCAGCTTCTCCAGGTAGGGTTGGCAAAACCCCCCTTCCCAAACCCCTAAGAACTGCCGAAAATGCTCGGCTAGATGGAGCAACGGTTTGGTAAAGCACAAGGAGCTTCCTGTGTCTCGTGACGGCCACCCTCTTGCCAAGCCACATTTCAGAGTTTTGTCGCTGACATGTAGGCCTCTGGCTATCAGACTGAGGGAGAAGCACTCGGGTGGCCATGCATCCTGTTTCAAAGGAGGGTCCTCTGTTTTGGAGAGCTGGCAGAGGATGGTCCTCATCTGCAGGTGTCCTCATTTAAAGTCCAGGCCTGGCTGCACCTGGACACCACGGAATGAGCGGACCTGGGGTCCTCCAGCCAACCGTCTCTGCTAGGGGAAACTGTGCTGCTTCTATTTGACTTGAAACAGTGTGCAATTCTGTGCTGACAAGCAACCAGAAGACACTTTTCTGCCCAAACATGCACGGGATCAGAGACAGAGTTTCCAAAACGGCAATATCCCTGCACCGACGTCGTGTAACTCGGTGTCTTCCTTTGTCTCTTTTCTGACTACGGTTCTTCTGTTTGGAGATTTGGCACGGTCACCCTGATGTTCACTCAAAGCTAATTCTCACTGAGTCCAGTTAAGTGCGTATCGAACAGTAACCTTTAAGTCCTCAACCCACCCGTATGTTCCGTCTACGATAAATATCCTGGCCCAGCCTGTGCATTTCTACTGGGAGAGAAGCGTCGAAGTGTGTAAACATTTAGCCTTGGAAGGAACAGAGGACCGCTCACCAGTGAATGAGGCATCCGCCCCCGTGCAGACGGCATTCATGCACGAACCTGATGCACTCCTTAAAATGTTGCATCCTAGGAACCGGGGAGGAAAATAAAATTATTTTTGTCCCAATCCAGTAATCCCACACATGTATTTTTCTGCCTAGGCAAAGGATGCAGAAAGTGGGTAAGACAGAAAGGACATTTTACATATACTCTGTGAGCCATCTTGAGTGCTTCTGCAGAAGGACGGGATACAAATGTTTGTATAAATAAATACATTTTTTCTTCACTCTCATCCAGTGGATTGGATGGTTCCAGGTACTATGAGCTGCTGGAACGCATTGCCCCGAGATGAGGCGAAGACCACGATATCCGACGGCTTGCAGGGTGAGCTGATGGATTTATGGCGGAGGAAGCCAACTCTTCCTGTGGCAATTGAGGGCAGGGGCAGCTAGCTTCTGCTGCTCTGTTCGCCTGACCCGGCAGAGCACCCTTTCGGAACACCATCCCTCCTGTGTGGCGCGACAGCCCTGTAACCACACCTGCCATGATTGCTGCATGTGTGTCTTGCACACGGGTCGCTCCGGAACACCCCTTTGAAGCAGCAAGGGGAAACCTCAGCATCACCTTTGATCTTGCGGACTCCTTACAAAGAGGATGGGAGAAAAAGCCAGGCAGTGGGCACTCTAACTGTGTACAAGAGGGGGGAGTGCCTTCTGGACAATCAGCAAGCTTAGCAAGCGCTCGCCTGAGAAGGTGGTGAAAGCCAGCAAGGTCCTTGGCCCTGTGGTGCAAGGCAAGCTGTGGGCCATTTGTGGTTCCCCTCTTGCTGCGGACGGTAGCTGCCAGCAGTCTGGCCAGCCTAGCCAATGTTGAGCATGGTGGGAATTGTAATCCACAGTACTGGGAGGGCCACCCGTTCCTCAGTCCCTGATTAACTGTGATGGGAAAGAGCTGCAGTAAGCCATGGGATCAAGCCTGGACTGGACATTTCCAATGTGTTTTGGATTGGCCACTGTTTATTGATCTCTCCAAGCCCTAAACGGTGGCTAATCACAACTATGGTTTAAGGAAGCAAGTCAGCTTGTTTCAAACAAACTAGCAAGTTACAGTTTCTTGGATTTGGGCAGAACAAGTTGTAGTTCTTCACAAACAGAACCACAGCTTCTGACCTCCCTGTGGCTGCACCAAATGTGGAAGGTAAAGGTGCACCTGCTCAGGGGTCCTTGAAGCTCATCCCCATCACGTAGGCCACGGTTTATAATGATGTCTGAATGACAGGCTTGCCCCATTCCATGTGTGATCAAGATATGCACCTATGAATTGATTGTTCTGGGCTTTTAATATATGTTTAAGAGGGCACAAAGAGGGATGAAGGCTATTACTTTGGATCAAGAAGCAGGAGATGGGGCTTGTGTTTGTTTGTTTGTTTGTGAAGCTTTTCTCCCCTGTCCTATTACAAAAGTTCTTGTGTTCATGGCATCCTGACCCTTTTTGAAACCAACTCCATCTGCCTCATTTGAAACCAGGCAAATGGTTCTACGCCAGGATAACACAGAACAGCCTTGCCCAACCTTGGGCACTCCGAATGTGTTGGAGTCCAACTCCAATCATCCCCAACTGTTCTGGCCAGTGATTTAGGAGAATGACAGCCCTACATGTATGAGCAGCATCCAGTTGGGGCAAGCTGGCAAAGGGTCATTCCAAGTTACCCTGTTGGTTTCTTGGAAAACCCTTTCTAAGGTCACCAATGTTGTGAAATCCAGCGTCTAAAGCGTTGTGCAGAAAATAGCCTTTGAAAAATTAAACTTCCTTCCTGTGGCCTGTTGCTTGGAGGTATCTGTCATTGCACATACACACGCACACCGCAATGGCATGAGGAGGAGGAGGAGGAGGAGGAGGAGGAGGCGGCATGCACCTCGGTTTTGCTGAAGAAGGGCTTTCCAGGCCCACTTCTCAAGTGAAAGTTATTTGTACCAGGAAGGGCTCCTTGCTGATGGTTGAGAGGGCGAATGGAGATCTCCCGCTTTGGATTGTGGTCCTAGCAGGGCCAGAAGAGCCCTCTTTCTGCCTGACATGCTGGAGAAGTGCTGCCGGCTGAGCAGACAACAGTGGCTTGGACAGACCAGTGGACTGGCCCAGTAAAGACCAACTCACAGGCTTAATATCACCCCATCGGCTCTGCATACAGAAAGCTCCAGGTTCGGTCCCTGGAAGTTCCAGTTAAACAAGAATCAGGATTTGAACCCGAGACTGTACCTTAGGTTCAGGGTCCCAGCCTGACCCACCAGCGAATCTCCCCCTTTCCCCCATCAGGTGTTGCATTCTGGACTTTGGTGCAGTTTTCCCCACATCCTAAACAGTCAACACACTTACACTCTGGCAGCCTGAACTGGAAGGTAAAATAGGCTGGTAGCTTCAGCCCCACCCTCACTGGAATGTCGTCCCTAAGAGTCTTCCAAGTCTCCACCCAGCCCTGAGGCTGAAGGAGGTTCACGTGGTGTCACGATTCAATTCAAGGGCTCAACTGCTTCTGGGGAGACCCAGGTTCTAGTCCTCCTGCAGCCCTGAAGCCTCCTTCCCAGGATTGTTGTAAGGATGAAATAGGAGAAGACTGTATGGATCGGAGTTGCTTGTGAGGGGGGAAATGCAAGATACGAATGTCATAAGAACAGACAAGACTGAGCTAATGGATTCCCCCTTGTTCAATGGGTCATCCCACGGATGGGTCATCTATGCCATCAGGCTGGTCCTGATCACAGTGAGTGAGCGTTTTTCTACAAACTCAGAGAAGCAGGGGGGTGAATTTGTGCTTGTCCCTCTGTCTTTTGAGCTCAGCAAAATCCAAACTACTTTCCCTGCCAGCTGTCATACAGATTTCCTGCCCAAATGGCCTTTTCAGCACTTCCTCCTTCATGGAATTTTACAAGGGCTCCAGACATTGGTCATTGCTGTCCTCATTCTGGCAGTCTCCTGCATTTTCCCACTGATCCGTCCATCTTTTTACTTAGCAGAAAAACATCCAAAGAAAAAGACAGAATCCTGCACAGAGTCTTGCAGTACCAGAAGCCCTTGGCTCGAAAGAGTCCTGCACCGAGGAGTATTTCTCCTACACCCACACGCCCTGAGTAGCGGTGCTAGTAGTGACGTCTCTGAAGTCCTTTGGGAAAAATGCAACTAACCACCATCGTTCAGTTTCTTTCGTCCCCCTATGCAGCAGGGCTGCCCTGCTGGAGGAAAAATGAATTTCCCCCACTTTGCATGGGAAATGCACACTCTAAAAATAGCATTCACTTTTCTGAAAATCTGAATAAGTTCGCTTCATCAACTTAAACGGGGATCTGATGATTTCAGCCTGTTCACACCTGAGCAGTCCTGTGCACACACCGAGGCACCTGCTGCTGGAGGGGCTGGGGTTGTCTTTTTCTTTTCCCCTTCTGAACACAGCTCCTTAGCGTGGCATCAGATGCGGGTTCGAGCTGTGTGCTTTGCTTTTAGCGATTGCTTTGCAGGTGGCTTTGTTGAGTGGGGAAACGAATGTGACTTATGGATGCGTACAAGACGGGAAAAAACGCCCCGGCGATGACCTGGCTGGCTGAAAATAACACATCCGGCAGGGCCTTGCTGTGCTGCCGGCAGGGTCTGGGGTCCTGTGGGCAAGACCTGTTCAACGCACCCTCTTCCCCTTCACTCCACCATGTCCCCAGTCGCCTGCTTTGCCATCTTAGCTACCATTGGATGGACGGGTGGATGGAAAGCCAGGATGCCATGGAATACCCTCCTCCTCCTCTTCACTGCCAGTACCTGGACCAGAATGAGAGGCAGGCTGTGATGTGGAAGAGACGGGCCCCTCCTGGGGAGCGGAACCTCGGCGGGTGACCAACCATGCTTACCCCGGGTGCTGCTCCCAGGTCAGGGAAGGCTGCCTCTCTATTTAATATGGACCGGTGTGTTTCTAATTTGAGAAGGGCCCTGTGATCAACAGCTGGGGAAGGTCAGAAGGGCATTCTGCTAATGCAACCAAGGATGCTGCAGCCTACAAAAGCTGGAAAGAGGACTTACAGGTTTTGATTCGAGGAGTCCGAGGCTGATATGCAGAGGTACGTCATGTCCTGAAATGAGAGAGACTATAATCACAAACAACGCTTGTTCTTCTGCTTCATGCTGGAGAAAAAACGCTTGATTTTATATACCCCAAACAAGCCGTGCTTGCTTTTGGGAGCCACGGTGGTCCTGGGTTCAACCAGCTTTGGACCTAGACTGACCTACTCCCAGCTAGCCTGCCTCAGACTTGAGCAAGTACAGCTCCCATCATCCCTGGCCATTGACCATGCTGCTTGAAACTGATGGAAATTGTAGCGCCAAGCATTAGAGGCTGGCAGAATGGAGAATGCCAGCTCAGAGCCTGGAAATATGAAACGGTGTGGAAGACAAGCAGCAAGGAAAGAGGAATTTTTGAACCAAATTTTCTAGAAGCCCTGGGAGAAAAACAGAGGAAAGTTTTCCCCTAATTTTCCCCTCGCATTTTACTGGGTTTTTCTAGGCCTAAGTGGTGGAAGGATTTCGGATGTGAAGAGCACAGGGATTTCCACCCTGCCTTTAGCCCTTAAGAGCAGACCCAAAAAAGAGATCTTGCCAAGCCGGATCACCACTGAAAGGAAAAGAAACTGAAAGCCTGGATTTGCAATGGGTCATTCACCCTCTAGCCATTCGGTCCTGCTTCTGATGGGAGCACAAGCTTGGCTCATTTGCAGAAAGGCAGAATAACGCAGGAGAGGGGAAAGACGCACAGGTTTTACATGCCGACGGTTCCGTGTCCGATCCATGCCATCTCCAGCTGGAGCTCAGGTGGCAGGAATGGGATCGCCCATGCTCTGAAACAAAGCAGACCATCACAGACAGACACACTGACCCAGTGGGCAGCAGGTCTCAGTGTCCAGATGCCCAGGAAGAGAAGAGCCCTGGGTGAAAGGCTGGACTGAGCACCAGGCTAAATACCTCCTAGAGCGGGGACACATCCAGCGTGAGGTCACTGGCTATAGCGTGATAATCTCGGGTGTGTGTGAGTGTGTTGGTGGGGGTGTGAAAGGAGTGCTGTGCCCCCCCCCCGCCAAACCAGCTTCATCTGCAGTATAAGGATGGTTCAAAACAACAACCACAAATCAAAAATACTTTTGTGGAGAATGTTGCAACCCCTTTGCAACAGCAAAACCAGCCAGCAGTTGCTCGCTTTCCAGCAGCCCCGCTTCACCCACTTCCTCATGCCTGACCCCAGCAATTGAACGACGCGCCAGGAAAAATTGCTCCTCTCCAGGTTTCCTTTCGTCCTCTGGAAACGGGGCACCATCGCTTGGCCCTGACCAGAGCCAAGCATGGGAATCGGGCTGGGCTCTGCAGTTCTTTTGCCAAATCTGTGATTGACATATTGCTCAATAGATCCATGTGTTTCCAGTTCCTCTTTTTTGCCCCGGCCTCATTCACTCGATCATGTTGTAAGACCTCCATGTAGAATCGCCATCTGTCCGGTAGTCTGCCGAGATGTGGTCAATTGCAGCTGCGGCTTTGCCTGAGCAGTTCTGCCCCTAATCTACCCTGCTATTTTTTAAACCCAGTTTCTCTTTCCTCAACATTACTTGGTATCTCCTACCAAGAAAAAGGCTTTCCTAGAGTTCTTCTTTTAAATGATTCTTGGGATTCACAAATACGTCTGCTCCAGGAAACTTGGTGTTCTTTTACATCACTCCCCAGAAACACACAACCCTCCATAGGATTCAAACTCACAGCTTTCCAAATAGCTCTGACCATTTTTCCGTGGGGCAAACCCAAGTGTGTCATTCACAGCGCTTCTGACGGGAGGGAAAACGGGCAAAGCTGCGGAGGTTATTTTCTGCAGGTGCCCCGGCTTGCACCCCTCAAAGTTGCGCCCCGTGGCTTAGAAGGTGATCCAAAGTCACCCAGCTCCATCTCAGCCCATCCTTCTTAGCAGTTTGCACCTCCACAAGCAGCAGGTCTTCTCTGAAGTGACTGGATCCAAACTTTTCTCCTTCCCTGCCTTTTTACCACATCCATTCAATTTGATGGGAGAGAAATGCTTTGAAAAGAAATCCAGAGGAGGAGATGTGGAGACACTCTTGTGCGCTGGATTTGGGGTTGTTGAACTAAGAGTGGAAGACCTGCCGTCTCATCCCAAGACTGGCAGGGAGCACAGAATTGGGGGGTTGCCTTCTGCCAAGCCAGGCCTGGGTTTCTGCCGCTCTTACCTGCAGGACTTAATCCGTGCTCAGCATTCCTCCCCACCATCTCATGGGATGCTCCACCTATAGATTTCTGTCCATCCTACTCCTCTTCAAAGGTGCAAGAGCTCACAATCCTACTTCCAACTTTGCAGAAGCCCCTGGGAAATTCTATTCCAGAGCGCCTCTTATGAAATCATTTTGCCCTCTTGCCAAGAAGTATTCCACAACACAGTTGCTTTCGATCAGCAACTCAGACCCCCTCCCGCAACTTGAAGTTCTCCAAAGCACTGGGCTGGACTGCAGCTCCCATTATCCCCAGCCAGCATGGTCACATGAGGATCAAAGAAGCGGGTATAGGTGGTGCCCCGCCTATGGAATGCGCTCCCCAGAGAGGTCCGCCTGGCGCCGTCGTTGTTTTTCGGCGCCAGGCCAAGACCTTTTTATTTCAACAATATTTTAACAACTTTTAATATTAGCTATATATGTTTTAATCTGCAGCCAGGGTGGATCTGGAATTTATTTGTATTATGTTTTATACTACTATTCTTATTTATTTATGTAAGCCGTCCTGAGGCTCTGCGAAAGGATGGCATATAAATATTCCAATTAATTAATTAATATCTATAATTGTGTTTCGCTTTGTTTTGAATGTGCTAAACTGCTTTCAGGGCTTGGTGGCCAAAAAGAAATTAAATCTATTAGGCAGAAATGTCCTTCAGAAAATGAAATGTCTCTCCACACATGCACAGACATTGCTCTGGAAGCCTCCAACGTGATCTTTTGCAATGCTGCACTGCCCTCTGCTGGCTTTCCCTTGCCTCCTCTTTTGGCAATCTGGGAAACGGATGAGTTGGGCGAGCGGTCCACAAGTCAATCCTCCCAGGCACTGCAGCCATTCTTCAGCAGTGATGCCGCAAAACTGTGGCCCAAAATGCCTCCTCCAGGTCCCCCCCCGCATGTTCCCAGAGGGTCTCTGTTCCCCCCCATACTCACTTCCAGCACAGGCTTGGCATTGTTGTGCACCGAGATGATGTGCGTAATCCCGTGCTTCACCAGGTTCTCTCTGTCCTCAGAATCTGTAAACAGCAAGTTTCTCAGCTCCCAGAAGAATAAACAGGGGTGTTCATCATTCTAGACCTCATTGAAGGAGGTACACTCCCAGTCTGGGCTTGCCCGTGCCATACAGTACTTCCAAATCAAGTATATATTTAAACACATTTTAATACCATTAAGCATACTTTCATTTTTTCCCAAGAACAGCGTTGCATATAGAGAACGGCCCTGGATATGGCCCCTGGCAGAGGGCAACACAAAGCAAATGTGAAGCAGGTTAAATCTTCTGTCCTTGTCAAGGGACCCTCAGCTCTCCCAGGATTTTATTTATTTATTTATTTAAATAATTTTATTTTATTTATTTAGCGGAGCCGGCTAGTGCCAGAGGTCAGACTAGATGGCCTGGGAGACCCCTTCTGACTCGCTCTGTTTCTCTGTTTCTATTTATTTAAAGTTTCCTATTAACAGGATTAGCAGCTTCTCAGTGCTTGGCCGTGCATGCAATATCACCCAGCGTTTGCACTCTTGCATCGTCCCTGGAGAATGACCAGGACGCTGCTGGAAAGTAAAGCATAAAAATAGACCATGGAAAGCTCAGGTCAGCTTCCCACAGCTGCTCTGCAGGCCAGGAAGGGTCTGGGGGAAGAAGGGAAGCAGAGTCCCCTAAACCAGCTCGTGAGCAATGCCCCCTAGGAGAAGAGCTGCTGGGAAAACTTACCCCTGATGTTCCCGAGGTACAGCCCATCCACAACCTAAGGAGAGGCCAAGAGAAGGAATTAGTGCCATGGGTATCAGCAGAACGCTCAGGACACGGAGCAGAAATGCCTGATTCGGAGTACAGCCCATTCATGTCCCAAACTAGGGGATTTTGCTGGGGAGAGCTATCCAAAGTTAGTGTGGATTGCACGCACGAGGGCTTGGGCAATCCGGGTGCTCATTCCAGCTCCGCCAGGATGCTAACTGGGTGGTTTTGAAACAGCCCCTGGCTCTCAGCCTACCTCTCAGGGTTGTGGTGAGGATAAAATTGAGACAAGCATTAAGTGGCCTCGCGTTCCTTGGGGAAAGAAAGCAAGGTAGTCAGAGGGATGGAGAGAATAAAAACTCAGCCAGCTGGTGGCACAGCTTATAATGGCATCACCAGAAGATAAACATGGGGAGTGTTTTGCTTAGTACTTCTGTATGTTAACCACTGTGCAGCCTGAGTAGCCAATTCAATTTTGGAGAAGCACCTGAGAACGGCACGGCAGCAAGCCGCTCATGGCCCCCTGGGTGTCCCTGCAGAGCAAGCGGCATCTTTTCCCCATCGTTGGCCTGATGTGGCTCGTAGGCCATCACATCCTGAGGACCCCTACCTGAGCACTGAATGTAGTCAGAGAGAAAGTGAAGTTGTGGGGTGAGAAACAGCCACTTTGAGAAAGCAGCTTTCTGGATCTGCCCTTCACCAGCCCGTTCCAGGCAACCGACAAGCAGTTTACTCTAAACAGACGAGCTAAACACCATGACCTTTCCAACAGACACGGACTGACTTTATAAGCAAGGGGTGCAACTCTGAGACACGGAGCTTTGTTTGGGGTTTCTATAGCAGCGGTGTCTTGCAAACAACCCAAGGACTTGGCGACGAGAGAGCATCCATGGCAGAAATGAGGGTGCTATTTTTAAATGCTTGCCAAAACCTGGAGGCATCTGAGCAAAGACTTTGTGCTTCCCAGCTCCTTCAGAGCAGTGGAAGCAAAGCTCTGCTCCTACACTGCACAGTAAACAAATCAGTAACATGCATTCCCACTGATGTAATTTCTTTGACTGTACATTTAAAAATGGATAACATAGGCAAAATGTATGGAAATCTGCAGCCTGATTACAAGAACCCATTCTTGCAAATCTGTGATTCCTACAGGAATCATCATAAGCTTTCCAGCGGTCGTGCTTCCGTTATTTCCGACTCCCTGCTTTTCCTGTCCTTAAGTCAGAGAGGCGGCCGAGATGGGTAGAACTATCCATGGGACAATCATCTGCTAGATGCTATACAAAAGGAAAGAGTTGTACAAAGCTGAAAGAAGCATATCCGGGAAGACTCACAGCGCTCATTGCTGCCCAAATATTTGGCTTTTACCAAATTTTAACTCAGGATCTGCAAACAACAACAGCCAAATCATTTTTGTTTATTTAAATTTGTGCCACAATTATCCACAAGTTGGATCTTCTGGGTTCAGTATCTTGTGTACATCATCTGGCCACAATGCCAATTAAATCCATGTCAGTTCCACAACAAAATGTGGAAAAGTGAAAGGCGCGGGGTGGTGAATATTTGTGCAAGGCACCATATTGTTGTTTTTAGAAGTGGTTTTGCACATCTTTTTCAGATAACCTTGTCCATCATGAGGGATAGAAAGGTCCATTTTTGGTAGATAAATTTGCTCAGATTCATCCTAATTGGGTCTCCAGTATGGGGCAGGTCTCGGTGATGAATCTTTGGCAAACACACGGCCAGTTGCTTTGGATCCCTCGGGTGGCTCATGAGGCTGTGGACAAGGTACCTCAAGGAGTGATGCTCAACTGCTACATATTATGTATTTGTAATACATTGATTACATTTTGGCCCGATGGCCCAATCTCTCTGAGCCGTGCAAGCACTAATAAAGCCTTCATTAAAGAAGCTTCCACTGGCAGGAGAGATCTGCTGTGTGCCATGTTGGCTGTGGCGACGGGGAAGGTGATGGCATCACGGCACCGGATCCTTCGGATGAAACCGATGCTCTGCACCCACTTTGGTGAGCTTTCAAAGAGCGTAGGGGGCTGAGGTTGCCTTGGTCACCCTGGTGGATGGTGTAGTGCGGTCCATGCAAGGATGGATGAGGGAGGGAGGGAGGGAGGGAGGGGCGCACTGTGGTCCTATTCGTTCAGCTGGAAGGCTTCCAGCCCCATCTGCCATGGCCGCCTGCTGGCTCATCCAGCCGGGCTCGTCTTTGCTTTGCAGTGCCTCCGCTCCTTTCTGTAGGCCGCATCCTGGAAGTGGAGTGGGGGCTCCCAGCAGGGGTCTCTGTGGCCCCGCAAGGAGCCGCCTCCTTTCCCCAGGCCTTCAATATCTGGGGGATAAGACCCGCTGGGAGAGGTCTTTCAGGACGCTGGAGAAGGATGCCTCCCATATGCTGAGGACACCCACACGCTCAGTTGTCCTGTGTCACCAGGCAGGCGGCTGAAGCCCCGCGGAGACCCGGCGCTGGAGTTGCGCTTGCTGCACGCGCTTGCAGCCTGGAAGCGGCTGAATGAGCCCAAGGCAGGCAAGACACTGCCTCTGGATGCCAGCTTGCCCATGACAAGGAGGACGTCTGTGCAATGACATTCGGGAAGTTCTTTCAATATTCCTACTAACAAACCGGCCCGATCATTATACCCATTCTGCAGATGGGGAGGCCTGAGGCTGAGAAGGGATGGCTGCGCTCGAGCCACCCCGTGAGCTCCCACAGAGGCCGCCTTTGGACCGGCCGCCCGTGGCTGCCTCCCGTCGCTGACCCGGCACGGCCACGCTCGCCCACCTCGAGCCGGAACCTCTCCTCCCGTCCCCCGCGTCGCTCCCCCGCACGCGCCTCCGTGCCAGACGGAGACCCCGCACAGGCTTTTACCTTACTCATCCCGGTCCCCATGGCCGCTGCTCGGTCCGCGCCAGGCGCGCAGAGTTGTCCGCCCGGCTTCCCCCTTGCTCAGCGGAGCCGCAGGCGGCGCAGCCTCGCGATGCGCGCCTCCCGTGACGCGCGCGGCCGGCCGGGCTCCCTTGCCTCGGCCCGACCGAGGAGGAGATGCGCAGCCGGCGGGCGGGGAAGGGTCGGGGCGCGGCGCGGCGCGGCAGCCCCGGGATCGCGCGCGCGCGCCCGGCAGGCGGCGCTGCCCCCGCATCCCTCGCGCGCGCGCGCGAGGGATGCGGGGGCAG